GGAGGTGGGTGGCCCTGGGGGGGACTGACACCCAGGGACCTGGAGGGGGGCAGCACCAGCACAGGGCTTGGGCACCAACGGCTCTCCCAGTGGCACATCCATAAAGACCCACAGGGTCAGGAGTGAGGGACCTGGGAGGAGGAAGTGCTCAGGAGCAAGGCCTGCGAGCACACCTAGCCCAGGGCTGGGCCCAGAGCCAGCGCGGCCAAGTGTGGCCTTGGCACTGGAGCCAACAGAGACAGCAAGACCCTGCTGCAGCCCGTCACTGTTTGGGGAGGGGGCAAGCAGACGGCAAGACCTCAGTGAGCTCATCAATGCCTGCCCGGAAGCCTCAAATCAGCCTTAAAAGCTAAGACAGGACGTAAAACCCCACATTCCCCAGGCGGAGCCAGTCAGAAGCGCGGGATGGAGACTGCCACCAGGTGACTCACACCCCTGCCCCTCCCCACCTATTCCGTCTCTCTGTATTTCTCTCTTAGTCTCTCTCTGTCCCTCCTCCTCTGCTCCACCTCTTCTTCCCAACCAGACAGAACCTGATTGGGTCGGCCCCCTGCTGCCTGGCTTGCCCTGCCCTACTGCACCCCAGTGGTCTGTGAGGGTCCGGTGCTAGGTTGTTCCTCTCCCTCCTTTTACGATGACTGACCCCCATCTGTCCCAGAGCCCACTTTTAACTGTCCTGGCTCAGAAACCCAGGCATGACCTCCATGGGCAGGGCTGTGTGCCCCTTCCCAGGACAGCTGGGTCTGCCTGCTAGTGTAATGGTGGGAACCATCCCTGGGGCCTGCAGCTCTAGGAGGCCTTAGGCTCCTGGTAGGCACTAGGGAGCCCCCTCACCCTCCTGGTGGGCATCCCTATAGCACTAGGGAGGCCTTGGGCTCCTGGTGGGCAGCCCTATAGCACTAGGAAGGCCCTCACCCTCCTGGTGGGCATCCCTACAGCACTAGGGGTCTCACCTCCTGGTGGGCAGCCCTACAGCACTAGGGGTCTCACCTCCTGGTGGGCAGCCCTACAGCACTAGGAAGGCCTTAGGCTCCTGTGGGCAGCCTACAGCACTAGGGAGGCCCTCACCCTCCTGGTGGGCATCCCTATAGCACTAGGGAGGCCTTAGGCTCCTGGTGGGCATCCCTACAGCACTAGGGGTCTCACCTCCTGGTGGGCAGCCCTATAGCACTAGAGAGGCCCGGAGGCTCCTGGTGGGCAGCCCTATAGCACTAGGAAGGCCTTCACCCTCCTGGTGGGCAGCCCTACAGCACTAGGAAGGCCTTAGGCTCCTGTGGGCAGCCTACAGCACTAAGGAGGCCCTCAGGCTCCTGGTGGTGGGCAGCCCTACAGCACTAGGGCCCTCACCCTCCTGGTGGACAGCCCTATAGCACTAGGGGTCTCACCTCCTGGTGGGCAGCCCTATAGCACTAGGGAGGCCTTAGGCTCCTTATTGGCAGCCCTACAGCACTAGGGGACCCTCACCCTCCTGGTGGGCACCCCTTGGACTTTCTCAGCACTAGGGTCCTCACCCTCCTGGTGGGCACCCCTACCGCACTAGGGCCCTCACCCTCCTGGTGGGCACCCCTTGGACTTTCTCAGCACTAGGGCCCTCACCCTCCTGGAGCTCCTGGTGAGTGAGTGAGTGACAGATGCACACACGCTGCAGAGGCTGGAAGTAAGAAGGACAGCCCTCCTCACCCTCCCCAAGGACAGAGCAGCTGCTTGGGACAGGGAGCCCTGCAGGGGTGGAAACCAAGAAAACCAGCCGCTTCCCAGCCGAGCCCCTTCTCGCAGCACGCTGGAGAAGGCAGAGAACGGACTCCCTGAGGGTCAGACTTGTCCTCTGAGGTGTGAGTCCTCACCCCACATGAGAAGGGATCTGCCACACACCCCAGGTCTCTGCAGCTGCAGTGGAGCAGAGACCAGATCTGACAGCTGAGGACCCCGTATCCCTGACCTGCAGCTCCTGGGCCAGGCCAGTGGAACCTCGTAGATCAACTGGGGGAACTTCCCTGGTCTGAATATGTCCCCAGACCCACAGCACTGGAAAGTCCTTCAAGGCAACAGTGCCAGGCAGTGGAGCTGCCCAGAGGAGTCAGGCCATGAGGCTGTGCCCTGGCAAAGGGGCCGAGAGCTCTCTGGAGAGGGCTTGGGGCAGAGGGCTGGCTTCTTTTCACTCTTCTGCCATACGTTTGTCCCACCTCCATTCTGCCCTCTGCCATGGGAGGACGTGCCGAGAGGGCCTTCGCCTTCATCCTGGACTTCCCAGCCTCCAGGGCTGAGGATAAATCTCTGTTCCACATGAACTACCCAGCGCAGCTACACCAAGGGATCAGACGAGGTCTTTGACACCACGTCCAGAGAACAAGGAGGAGCTGAGTCCAGCTTCACGCCCCCAAATGTGCTTCTTAGAAATGCAGGTTCCAGGCTCCAAAGCAGAACCTGCCTTTGAGGGGACGCAGCTCAGATTCTGGGTGAAGCACCCTGAGCCGACTGTGATGCCGATGAGACTGGGCTTGGCTCTGAGCGAAGGCTTTCGAGGCCAGCAGCTGCTCACCACAGAGCGGAACTGAATTGGGTCTGCTGCCCCCCATCTGCTGGGGCGTTCAGAAGGGGGACAGGGCCACTGCCTGGCGGGATGTCAAGCAGAGCAGAGGGAGGTTCCGGGAGGCCTCAGGAGGTGAGGGGTCTGAATTCTGCCCAGTCGGGAGGGTGTGGACAGAGCCAGACCAGTCAGAGCCAGACCAGGTAGGACAGGGTCAGAGCTGGGGCAGGGACGCTGCATCCCTGCTGTCACAACACTTAAGGTCACGCTCTGATTGCAGAACAAAGACAACTGTGACACAGTCTGGCCCTGAGAGCTCAGGAGGTGGCAGGGAAAGGAGGGCAGCTCCGCTGTGATTGCAGCAGGCCAGAGCTGGGCCAGGCACGGCCGGGAGCAGGAGTCCATGGGAGCCACGATGCTGAGGTGAGGAGCAGGGCCGGCGTCTCTGGACAGGGCAGCAGGCAGAGCACCTCGCCCATGGGAAGTCGGAGCTGAGGTCCTATTTGCTGGTTTTCTGTTCGTGACTAAAAGGCTCAGGGGTCACTCCAGTTGAACTAGGCTGACTGGGCTGTGTAAAATAAGCACACAAGAGACACAAAGACCTCTTTGTTTGGGGTCGCTGTGATGGCTCCTCTGACCTTAAGGGTCCGCAGGACGAGAGAGAGAGAGAGAGAGAGAGAGAGAGAGAGAGAGAGAGAGAGAGAGAGAACACTCACTGAGCCCTTTTATTGAGGAGAAGCTATTCAAATGAGGCAAGGGGTCAGGTTTCAGGGGGCTGAGTCTATCTTCATGATGTCCACTGTCAGCAGGTTGACTGACACCTGGGTAGGCCACACCCAAGAGCACAGTAAGAGGAGGAGACACACACAAGGCACTTCCATGAAAGATTCCGTCCTAAACAGGGCAAGGGGTTATATTACAAAGGAACAGGTGAGCATGGCTTCACCCGTGGGGCTGTAGCAAGACACACCCATGCACGAGACCGACCCTCGAACCCAAGAAGGGTGGGGAAAGCTTGCCACATTTCTGCGACTGAGCGCCTCAGCACCCAGCCAGGGAGTGTGCCTCAGGCAGGTGCAACGTTGGTCTCCCACACCTACGGACAGTGTGGACAGTGAATGAAATGGACCTTGAGGAGGGGCACTGTAAATGGGCACCTCCCTGGGCGAAGAGACCAACCTGGGTTTCAGAAGTGGCTGAGACCAGGATAATGAAAACCTGGGTCTCAGACACCGGTGGGTATAGGACCGTGCAGGGGTGTGGGTGGACCATGGGGAGTGGGACGACCCCCTAGTTCCTGGTTTGGACTGGGGAAGAGAGGGGAAGTCCCCAAGAGGGAGCACAGAAAGAGGCAGACTGGGGGTAAAAGTCACCCCGCGGCTGGTTTAAGGGCTCCCCAAGGACCCTGAGATCTCCAGCAGAGTGGTCCCTGGGCAGGTGGGGAGCAGCCTGGAGCTCCAGAGAGAGGCTAGAGAGACACAAGCCTTGTGAGGGAGTGGCCAGGACCACCAGGGACTGTCCCCAGGGTGCAAAGAGTCCAGGAATAGAACTCTGGGGAGCAGAGGGGAAGACGTCAGGGCAGGGAGGGGGACCCAGGCAGAATAGAGTCCGGGAAGCCGCCTTCCCAGGGCACATGCCCTCGGGCACCTCACGGAAAGTCACCTGGCAGGAAGGGACCAGCAGTGGCACCAGGGCCACCTGTGAGGCTCCTCCCACCTGAACACTTGCTCTTCCTCCTACTGCTGGCCTCTCCAGTGCCCCCCACAGTCCAGAGGCCTGGACACACCAGAAACCAGGACCCCATGCAGAGAGAAGCATCCGTGAATGGGTAGCCTGTGCTTTGCATCCTGCAAACAGATGAGAAGCCAGCACTGGGGACCCTCTCTGGCAGGTCCTGGCTTCCCACAGCTTCAGGTATGCCGTGTCCACTGTGGCAAGAGCCCTAAGCACGGCGAGCTGCAGGTCCCAAGGCCATCTGCACATGCCACCACCAGGACAGGAGACACAGGGACTCCAAACAGCCAGGAGGTGTTCAATACCACCTCCCACTCTTTCTCCACCACCCAGGAATGGGTGTGCGCACGCACAGCCATATGTGTGCTCATGTGCGTGACATGCAAGTGCACACACGTGCACACAGACACACACCACAGTTCAGGGTCTCCCTCCTGGACAGGGCGTCCCTCTCCCCCACACCTCCTCTGTGGCCTGGAAGAACCTTCTGTCCTCCCACCTCCCTGCTGAGCACACTCTGCACATGGGGACTTCCCAGCCCTGTCCTGTCTGCCGTGGGCTGCTCTCCTGCCATCTGGTCACAGAGGCTGATAAGTGTGGGCAGGTCGCCAACTTGGCCCCAACTCCACTTGGAGGCTGGACTGGCAGATAAATTGGTCCTGGAGGGGGGCGAGGAGGGGGAACAGAAAGAGGGGGGCCCAGAGGGAAGATTTCAAATTCATCTCTCTGCTAAGCCAAGCTCCAGCTTTCCAAGGCTCATCGCGGTGCTGCGAAGGCTGACAGAGCGCCAGCCGGGAGCAGGCAGATGGTGCTGGGAGCGGGTGTGGGCCAAGTCGGGGTGGGCAGGCCCTGCCAGAATCTGCACAGAGCAGCAGCTCCACGAGGAACGGGCTGGCCTGCTGACCTCAGAGCACCTCTAGAGGACGTTCTGGCTCATTCCTGCCCTGCCAGAGGCTCTGACCTGTGTCCTTGGGGCTGCTCAGCAGAGGTCGTGGTCCACGCCGAGGCCTGCTCCTGTTGCTTAGCAGGCGTGCCCACCTCAGCCCCACACAAACCGTCGCTGCTGCTGTGCGGCCCTCAGCAACCTCAGAGGAGGAGCCTGGGCAGCACGAGAAGTGGACCTCAGGACACACTCTCACTCTGTGTGGCCAATCCTGACAGCAATGCCACCTCGAGCTCTGGGAGGGGAGAAGTCAGCAGTGTATCCCTCGCAACTCCAGCTCCTGGATGTTCTCAACGTGTGGAGTGAGCGCCTTCGTTCCCGCTAACCTGTGGGCATTTCTGCAGTCCTAAGATAAGGTGAAAAACCCCTGGGAGTCACACCTGGCCACAGAGCATCACCTGACAGCCGCCAGCCAGGACTCTTGGGTTCAGAAGGAGTGACAGTGAGCTGGCAGACGGCCACCCCCAGAGAGTCTCTCCTGGATGCCTGGTCCCCGAGTGTGCTGCCTGTGTGGAGGGGCTGCTGGAAGCTGGGGTGGTGCACACCGTGCAGAGATGGGCATTCCCAGGGGCAGGCCCACTTCAGCAGCACCTGCTGACCCCTCTACCAGAGTCAGCCCCGAGGGCATGGGCCAGGGAGACCCGGATAGAACCAGGGAAACCTGTCAGCACATGCATGACTAACCTTCTCTGTCTTGGCCTGTTCCCAAGTCCCAGTTGTGTGTTTTTAGCATAACATGCTGTGAGAGGGGACAGCCCAGAGCCTTGTGGTGGCTTTCTTGATGCCACCAGTACTTACAACAGCCATTCAGTGAACAGACTAAACCAAGTACAAACATGCCTTTGGACGCCCTGGCGAGACTGGCACTCAGACCCAAGTGGGCCAGTACTTAGCATAAGACGAAGTGTGTTGAGCAGAACCATTGAAATCAGCACAACACACCAGGCCAACACTCCACGCCGGCACCTGGCCTCTGCAGCAGCCCAGCTTCACAGACAAGCATAGATCAGACGCATCCCTCAGAAAATGGTTTCATTTATAACCAATACTGTCACCAAAGTGCACTTGGAGTCATAGGTATGTTGCAAAAGAGGAAAAACCAAACCCCAAACCAAACTCTCCTATGGAAGTGGCTGCTGTGGTCTGCAAGCTTGGGACCCCCCTTGAAAACCCCCATGATGCTGTCCCAGCCCACATGGTGACGGTGTTCAGCTTAGGTCATGAGGACATAGCCCTCACGAATGGGACTAGTGCCCTTCCAAAGGAGGCCCAAGAGCGCTCCCTTACCCTTCCTCCGGTGAAACAGCAGATGCCCGCCATCTTGAAGTAGACAACTGGACTGCACCAGAATCTCTAGCACCCCTTGATCCTGAACTTTCCAGCCTTCAGGGACACACAAAGCAGACTTTGTTGTTTATAAGCCACACATCAGTGACAGTTTGTTATAGCAACTGAAATCAAAATAGGACAGAAATTCGGTACTGTTGTAATTTGGGTATGAGGTGTGGCCCAAAATCGCCTGTGTTGATGCAGGAATGTTCAGAGGTGAAATGGTTGGTCGTGAGGTCTGTGACCTATCAGTCCATCCTGCTTTGAATGGACCAACTGGGTGGCAGCCATAGGCAGGTGAGGTGCGGCCAGAGGAACTGGGTCCTGGGGCTATGCCCAGGGGGAGGGGGCTATGCCCAGGGGGAGGAGACTATGCCAGGGGGAGGGCAGCTTCCTTGGAGCCCCTAGCGCTGTTTCTCTCTGCTTCCCGGATGCCCTGCACGGAGCAGCTGCCCTCCACCACACTTTTTGCCATGATGTTCAAAGAGCCCAGCAAACCACGGACTGACCTCTAAACTGTGAGCCAAGATCAACTTTCCCTCCTCTAGGTCATTCCTCTCAGGCCTTTTAGTCACAGTGACACAGGACACATATTTACCAAGGGTGGGGTCCTGCTGCAGCCAATAGTTAGAAGTGTGGAAGCAGCTCTGGAACTTGGTGACGTAGGGAGTAGAAGCATCCAGAGATGCATTCTAGGTCATGACTAGAGCATTCGGGGCGATTCTGGTGAGGGGGCAGGAGTGTGGGAGAGCTGTGGAGGAAGGCCAGGCTCCGTGGACAGTATCTGTGAACAGAATGCAAACTACAGGTGGAAAGGCCATTCTGCTGAGGTCTCCTATGGAAACAGGAACCACGCTGGTGGAGAAGGGAGGAGGACCTGTGACCCTTGCTATGTAAAGGCCAATGGCTGGCTGCAGTGTGTCCATATATCTGCGCTGTGTGACAGGTAGAACCTGAGAGTGGTAACTGAGAATTGGCTGAAGAAATTTCTAAGAGAGTGTTGAAGGAGGGTCTGGTTCCTCTTGACTGCCTTTAGTGAAATGGGAGAAAACAGAAATACCCTGGAGACAGAAGTGTCAATCAAAAGGGAGCAGAACTCTAAAATCTGGAAAATCCTCGCCCATCCATGGGAAAAGGAGGACATCTGCTCAGGAGGAAATAGGGTGTGTGTGGCCATGTCATAGGGAGATTAGTGTGGGTCAGCATCTAAAGGGAAGCCAGGAATTACTGGTCAAGACAAGGGAAGACTGACCCCCCGGCACTTCAGAATCTATCATGGCCTCCCTCCTCATCACAGACCCAGAATGCAGGGCCTCAGGCCGAGCCAGGGCCAAGCTGCCCGGCCCTGCCTCACCCTCACACCAGGCCCACCCTCTGCTCTGCCCTGAGCACTCCTGCTGCACAGCGCAGCTCTGGAGGGCAGTTGCAGTGAGCATGTTGTGCAGCAGAGCTGTAGGGGCAAGGGCACCTGAGAGGTTGCTGAGACCCAGGCACAGACCACCCCAGGGATGGGGCCACTGAAGGAAGCCCCCACTAGGACAATGTCAAGTAGATTCATGGGAGTGGGAGCCCTAGGGTTCAGACATCTGCATGGCAAAGCTGAGGGCATGCACCCCCCACCTAGTGGGCCTGGAGGACAGAGCATTGAGCCACAGTTTCCTGTCATTCCTTCTTCCCTCCCTGTTCTTGCTTCTGGAATGGGAATGTCTGGCCCATACCGGTCCCACTGTTGTGATTGGCAGCACATAGCATGCTCCATATCACCATCTGGAGGGGAATTCTCCCAGGATGAAACACCTTGGACTCTCAGCCACATTTGATGAGATGAGATGCTGGACTTTAGACTTTGGAGTTGATTTTGGAATGATCAAGGCTATTTGAGCCATCAGGATGGAATGAATGAATCTTGCCCATGAGAAGAACAAGAATCAGGCATCAGAGAGGCAGGGACGGAATGCTACAGTCTGAATGGGTGTATTCCTCAAAACACATGCTGGAACGTAAACCCTAGATGATGGTGGCTATCAGGAGGGAGGCCGTTGGGAGGAGTTCAGCCACGAGGGTCTGCCACTGAATGGGGTGGATGTTCACATGAAGGAGGCTTCAGAGAGAGTCCTCTCCTGCCCTGCCTTCTGCCAGGTGAGGGCACAGCATTTGTTCCTTCATTCTGCTATTCCTTCTCCTGCTACATGAGAACACAGCAACAAGGACCCATCTTGGAGGCACGGAACACCCTCACCAAACACTGAATCTCTTGGTAACTTGATTTGGGATTTTCCAGCCTCCATAACTATGAGAAATAAATTTCTATTAATTACAAATTACCTAGTCCAAGACGTTTTGTTCTACAGCAATGTGGGACTAGGACAGTTATTTTAATGTTTCATAAAAGCAGTATTTAGGGAACTAAGTTTCCTAAGGTTCACAATATAATTTGGAAGTGGGCTATTTACCACCAACAGTGGAAGAAGGGGGACAGATGTCTCCCTGAGCGTTGGAAAAAACCTTGCAATCTGGTTATTGCTATCCAGGATCCTCTGTAAGAACATATATAAGAAATCACAGGCCAGTGAGAGCATGCCAAGATTCAGTCCTGCCCCCAAGGGCTCTGACCCAGGGAGACACATCCACACTCAGGTCTATGTGGATGTGACCTCAGGTCCATGTGGAAGCATCCTCTGGTCTATGTGGATGTGACCTCAGGTCTATGTGGATGTGACCTCAGGTCTATGTGGATGTAACCTCTGGACTATGTGGATGTAACCTCTGGACTATGTGGATGCGTCCTCTGGTCTATGTGGATGTGACCTCAGGTCCATGTGGAGGCGTTCTCTGGTCTATGTAGATGTGTCTTCAGGTCTATGTGGATGTGACCTCAGGTCCATGTGGATATGTCCTCAGGTCTATGTGGATATAACCACTGGACTATGTGGATGCGTCCTCTGGTCCATGTAGATGTGACCTCAGGTCTATGTGGATGCGTCCTCAGGTCTATGTGGATGTGACCTCAGGTCTATGTGGATGCGACCTCAGGTCTATGTGGATGTGTCCTCAGGTCTAAGTAGATGTGACCTCAGGTCTATGTGGGTGTGGTCTCAGATGTATATAGATGTGTCCTCTGGTCTATGTGGATGTGTCCTCAGTCCTATGTGGATGTGGCCTCTGGTCTTAGAATAAGGGAGCCCTCTTGGTCCTTTGGGCTTCACCTAAAAGTGCAGTGGAATACAGCAGCTTGGGAACTCTGAGTACTAATAAAGCCCGTTCACACCCAGGGTGGGAACCTCCATGTCCTGGTTGGAAAGAAGTCTTCAAATCTGCCCAGAGGCAAGCTTGGGCCATGTGTGCCCAGTGCACTTGGGGTGTCTCAGTCAGAGTTTTCCTTTCTGTGGCCAGAAAGCATAACAGGAACAATTAGAGGAGGAAACCTTTATTTGGGGGCTCACAGTTTCAGAGGTCTCAGTGCATAGACAGTGGCTCTGCTCCTCGGGGCTCGAGGAGAGTCAGGACATCAGGGCAGAATAGGGGCAGAGGGAAGCAGAGAGCCTAGCTTAGCTCACCAAATACACACCAAAAGACATACCCTCAGCGTGGCTCCTCCAGCCACACCCACCAGCCTCCAGTTACCACTCAGTCAATCCTACCAGGGGGTTGATTCCCTTATTGTTAAGGCTCTTACAACCCAATGAGTTCACCTCTGAACTTCTTGCATTGTCTCACCAGGAGCTTTTCAGGGGACACGTCACATCTGATCCCTAACAGGAGGAACAGATGTTGTTCACATAAAGTCTCTGCATGTCCACGGACACACAGAGCAAAGGACCAAGGCTTTGTCCATTCGGAGCGCTTCCGGAGTGCCAAATTGACCCTAGGCCTTCACCACAGGCCGTGCACCAGGGCTCTCGGGAAGTACCCCAGCCTCATGTGGCGCACTTGATCAGAAGTTCCCAGGAGACACTCCTCCTCACACAGGACTCAGGCCCCGGACCTGCTATAAGGAAATGCAGCGTGAGTCTTCACCGCACAGAAGTGCCACGGGCCCCTCTCACTGCGGGGAGCAATGCAAGAGCAGGTAAGCCTGAAAGGCTGGTCAGGGAGTGGAAAGAGGCCTGGCGGGGGAGACCTGGCAGGGCCACCTGGGCCCTGAGCCCCAGTCCAGCCTGTGGACCTTTAGCATTATCCAGGTCCTGCTTAGCCACAAATAAAACATGGTGTTTTAAACCCATAAATACTTCCTTGCCTCTGTCTCTGGGTGTGGGGCGGAAGGGTCAGGGCAGTTCACTCCTCCTCCCCCGCTTCTCCAGCTGGCTGAGCCATGGTGCGTCCAGGGCTGGACCCCTGGCCAAATGAGACCCGGCTCTCTTCTGCATGAAGATCCCTCAAACCATCACAGAAGGCCACACAGCCAGTTTCTCCTGGAAGAGACATCAGCCGAGGCGGGTCTGTCATTTAGAAGATGTGGCGGGGATGTCCCCTGCCTCCTGCAGCAAGGTTCATCCTGCAGAGGGGAGAAGCAGGTGGAGTTTCCTCTTCCTGCCTGCCTCACCCCTGCCCTCCGCAGCCTCAGTCCTCATGTGGCACGCCCAAGGCATGCTCCGTGACACCCTGGGACTCCACTGCTCTCTCTCTGCAGCTCTTGGCACACGGCACACGTGGGCACCCCAGCGAGGGCTGGTTCCTGGAGGCGGAGAAGCTTTCCACCAGCCTGCTGGGGTGCAGGTGGCAGAGCCAGCCCAGCAGGGCATCTCCCAGCGAGGCTCAGAGTGATCATCCACCTGTCAAGTTTCTGGGTGCCTCCCTGGGAGTGGGCTCCAGAGAGTGGCCTCTGGAGATTCCCCTTCCTCTGTTCCTTGGGGCCTCCTTTTCCCTCTCTTTTCCTCTCTGGATGGTGGCAGCTGAATCTAAAGGGCAGGAATCCAAGGGAAGGACAAGCCAGCAGCCTCCTCCCACTCTAGGCGCTTCTTCAAGAGAATCCACCTCTTGGAGTCTTCTCACAACCTCTCAGCCCGGAACCTCCTCCCCAGGGCCTGTGCCAGGGCCTGACCTGCTCCTTAAACCCGTGGCACCAGGACTCCCCACTGCAGGGATGGGGAAGGCACAGTCTTGGAGCCTCTCCACTCCCTACCCCTCCTCTAATGGTAGCTGGGAAGGTGAATGGCATCTGTCAAGGAGCAATTGGTCCCTTCCCGTGGCAGGGACCTGAGCACTGTGCTGGGAGCGCCCTGAGCTCCTGCCCCAGCCTGCATTGCCTCTGAGTCTGGGTCAGGGAGAGCCTGTCCAGCCGTCCTTGCTGTCCTGGGAGCTCCTGCTCGCCCTGCCGTCTCCCCAGGGCTGAGTCTCAGCTCCTCAGACACCTGACCCCCCGAGGCTGCCTGAACATCTCCAGGCTGGTGGCTTCACCCCAGAGTGGCTGAGCCAGAGGCCCTGTAGCCAGACTCACCTGCAGGGCCACCATGGAGTTGCAGAGTACTCTCCGGCCACAGCAGACATTGGCTGGGTTCCCACAGGTGACCAACAGGTGGACAAGGCTCACCGAGGACCCCTGCTGTTGGGGTAGTGGTGGACCCACCCTGTTCCCGGTCTCCAGCCAGCACCTGCCACCTCTGGTACAGTGGACATGAGCACATCCCCAAGCTTAGGGCAGTGAACCCAACCCCACAGCAGTCTGCCTGACTACACCCCCACTCCCTCGTCAGTCGGCCACTACAGTAATGGGGACACCCACTCCAGAGGCCAGCTTGAATTTGCTCCTGGATGCCACTGGACTCTGATGGACACAAACCGCCACTTGTCGGATTGCTATGTTCTGTACCCTGGACGCGGGGTCTTGGAAGAGTAAGAGGCGTTGCCAGAGTTCAGGGCTGGCCCATCTTCACCAGGATTCAGGGGCTTCATTTGTACAAGGAAATCTCTGTCCCTCTCCATGTGCTGAGAATCCCATGTGTGCGTGCGTGTGCGCGCTCAGGTATGCCTGTGTGTGCACCTGCAAGTGTGTGATTGCATGCGTTTTCTGTGCACACACGTATATGTGTGAGCACGTCTTGTTCACATGTTTGCACAGGCACATGACAAACATATGTGCATGTACAAGTGTGAGCACACACGTGTTCTTGCCTGCATTTGTGCAGTGTTTGTGGATTGGGTGGTGGGGTGCTGGGGCAGGCTGCTCCTGTGACTGGAACTCTGGGCCCGGCCCTGGGCCAGGTGACCCTGGAGCCAGCGCCCCGCCTGCAAGACTCCTTTATGACCTACTCAGCAGTCACATCTATGTCGCCAGCCCAGCTGATCTTCAGCCAAACCTGCCAAAGAGCCAAAGGCATCACCTCCACACTTTCCAAAGGATGGACAAGGCCCAGCGTTTTTGTCAACCATCAGTCAACAAATGAAAGAAAAGTTGAGGAGTAGAATGGTGTCGACTCTCGACTTCGCCCCACATGACCAAGGCTGAGGTCCAGCTTTTCCAAGCATCTACCTGTGATGCACAGCGGGTTGGACTGTAAGGGTAAAAGAAATTGAAGTTAAAATGTAAAAGACCGGGCATTGTAAAGTTCCTAAGCTGCAAGGCCTGAGTTAAAAAGTGAAGGACTAGGTATTGTTAAGTTCCTCTGCTACACCCAGAAATTCCTGAGGCCATTTAGTTGATTAATAGCCTAGGGCCCTGTGCGATCTTGCACGTAGGCAGTAGGCATCGCAGGGCCTAAACCAATCAGTTTGAATGTACCTCCCCCCCTTAGAACTGACCTATCACTCCCGCCCAACCTGTTCCCGCCAATGAATGAACTAATCATGTTTAGGAGTTGTTGTTTGATTTTCCCGCGGTGTATGATGATTTGTTAAAGGAGACTGTGATGTATGTAAAGTCCCCGCCCTCCCAAAAAAGTGTACTTAAGCACTGCTCAACTCCTGCTCTGGGCTCTGGGCTGCTCTTCTTTCTGAGTGAGCACGGAGCCCCAGTGCGCTGGATTGGATCCTCAATAAACCCCTTTTGCTGTTGCATGAGCTGCGGTCTCTTGGTGGTCTCTTCCTCCGACGTTCGCCGGACCCTTACAGGACGCCTCCTCTAGGCCCAGTTTCCTCGTCTGGATGGGCCCTCTAAAGCCTCTTCCCCACCAGAGACCAGGCCGAGCCCACCCATCAGGAAGTGGCTGGCTGGAGGTGGAACAAGCTCCCAGGGAGGCCTCTGAGGCCATCTGTCCTTGTCACACACAGAAAGGCTGAGCTCAGCTCCAAGGCCCAGCTCCAGGGGGCACACCGCCCTGCCCACCTTCTCACATAGACCGTGTGCTCATGGCCAGGACTGTGCTGGAATCTCCACGCCCGCCCTGCTCAGTCCCCGGGAGCGGTCAGCGAGATGACTTGGGGATTTTCTCCTCTTCTCTCCATGCTAAAGCACAAGGTGCCATATGGGATCTCTCAGGGACACGTACACTGGGGAGGTGCCCTGCCGCAGTCTGGCTGGGCACAAATAACCGAGCCGCCACAAAGCACTTGTAGGTTCAAACAGCAACTCTTTATTGCCGAACTCCACCAGTACTCCACGCATGCTCCCCGGGAACACACTCACCCTCCACCGGGTCCGCGCCCCCACTCCCCAACCCCCGGGAGAACTCAAGGGAACTCCAAAGTAGCGGGCGCCTGAGGCAGCAAGAGCCGTCCTATTGCCGGACAGTAAAGGTCATCTATACAATTGAACACACAGCTTAACATAACCATCATCATCTCAATGGCTTGCTGGCGGCACCTCTCAACCATTCCCTTCTGGCAAAATGCCATGCGTCATCCTGTGACCCTCAACAGTGCCCTTCTTGTCACCTCGCTATAGAAAGGACTTCTGAGGAGGAAGAGGCATTGGAGACCTTACCAGTGGTGGGCAAAGTCAAGGAGCATGAACCCCCCAGGGTCAAACTAAGAACAGGTCTGCGTCCCCACCTGCAGCACGCGCACCTGGCCGCTCCACCACTCAGCGGACTTGGTGCCCACCGGACACCTGCACAAGAAGGAGGGGAACAGAAAGCATGAGAGCAAGAGTCACAGGTGAGGCTGCAAAAGGCCCCTGGGCCACAACCAGGCGAGGAGGACACCCACCCAGAGAGCCAGGCTCAGGCCGTGAGGAAGGCCCAGCCAGCCACCTTCGCCTCCCCACTGGTCTGCCGATTCTGTCCCCCCACTTCCAGCAGCTGGGCATGACTTCCTGACAGGCGTCCACAGGCCAGTGCTCAACTCAGGGCCTGAGCCACCCTGGGACACTGGGCCTGTGCCCACATGTGCACACACGTGGCCTGTGATTGTGCCGTGGCCCAGAGAGGGGTCGGCGAGGGGAGGCATGGGGGCTGCTGCCCTCCCGCCGCCATCACCGTGGGCAAGAGGGGAAGGAAAGGCAGCGACAGAGGCAGAAGCACAGGGCTTGGAGGATTCGGGACCCCCAGAGCACCTCCCTGGGTAGGGCTCTAGGCGAGACCCTCCCCAGCCTCAGGGCCTCGGCCAGTATCGTTCCTGCCGTGCCACCCTGCCAGTGCTTATGACGTGCCAGGCCCTTGGCATCTGCTGTGGCGTTTGGCCCTCACAAGGCCTCTGCCAGGCCCACCGCATTGTGCCCGTGGCCCAGGTAAGGCCGCAAGATCTGGTCCTCATGGCCCGTGACTGAGCCTGGTCCAGCGGCCGTCCCTCCCAACCCAAGGCTGGCGCCCCCAGTCTGAGGACCAGCCCTCCCCAGGAGAGCCTCCTCTGAGAACCGCACAGCCTCCAGCGTCGGGGGAGCTCTGAGCGACCGCCCAAATCAGACACCTCAGTTCCAAAATAAGCAGTGACGAGCAGAACCCTGCTGTGTAGCAGAGAGCCTCGGCGAGCTCCCACGGTGTCTCCAGCCAGGAGCCACCTGCTCCACGGGGAGTGCCAAGGACACCAGAGGGGGAAAAGCACAGTGGGAGGAAGACCCGCAGCTCGGCCTTTCCCTGAGGAGCGCAGAGTGCGTCCCGCGCCTGGTGCAGGCTCTCGGCTTTCAGCACAGCGGCTGGCCTGGGGGGGGGGGGCTCAGAACAATCGGGGAGGGCGCCAGGGACACCTTCCACGCAATCCCCCGACACCTCCATAAACCTGCTGGTAACTGCTCTGCCTTCACTCATAAACCTTCAATAAAACCAGCCAGACTGCGCCCAGCTCCCCAGGTGCCTGTTGGAACTCTATTTGCCACTGACAATTTACGGACTAGGAGAAAGGCAGCCTGAGCACTGGGCTCTCCCGTGGCCCCCACACACCTGGGCAGCCTGAGCACTGGACTTCCGATGAGCACAGAGCCCTCCCGTGGCCCCCACACACCTGGGCAGCCTGAGCACTGGGCTCTCCCTTGGCCCCCACACACCTGCACCCACAGAGGCAGCAGCATGGGGCATGCCCCGTCCAGCCGTCCAGCCCCAGAAATCCAGAAGTTGGGGCCCCTGGGGATCGAAGCCAAGGTCACTTCCCTGCAGTCACACTCAGAAGGCAGTTCTGAGATTGAAGAGGAGTGACCACCAGCAGAGGGGCCTCACAATGCCCAAGTCCCCACCAGCTGGGGACAGGCAGCTGTGCTGTAACTGGGACAGGCCACCTCATGGGAGGTCACCAGGTCCTAGCCAGGGGCACATTGGATTCTGAGCCCAGCCAGTCCTGCTGTGCAGACCACAGCCATCCATTTGCACACGCTCATACACACACCCACATACACATTACAACACGCACAGCCCATACACACACACACACAGGCACACACGCACACAACCTACACAGGGCAGCCACCGTGCACACACCACATGTGCACACTATCCACACACACGCACACTGTACACCATTCCCACGTTTTCTGGAGGACCTGGGTGTGGGGCTGTCACACTGTGCTCTTTAAAGTCGCAAACAAACAGCAACCCGGGTGTCCTGCCACTGCCACCGACTGTTCGACCCCTCCTGGTCCCATGGTCTTGGTCTCGAGGCCAAGGAGGCAGCAGGGCAGAGGAGGACAGGTAGGAGGGTCAGTGAGCTGAGACAGGAGCTGGTTACAGGGACAAATCACCAGGTCAAGCCTAAACCTGGGTGACAGTACAGGGGCAGAGGGCAGGACGAGCAGAGGGCCCCAGAGTGGAGGGGGGTCCAGGGGAGGAGCGCCAGGAGGGGCCTGTGGTACCGCCAAGGTCCAGCCCCCCAGGCCGGGCACCTGTCCTCTCCTTCTCCCATCCTACCCATCCTACCCAGGGTGGGCAAGCTTTGCCACAGCCAGTAGCCAATCGTCTTTGCACCTGATGAACCAGAAGGCCACACGGTCCCACATGCACAGGTGTGGCTGGAGCTGGGGACGTGCAGAGGTCTGCCTCTCTGCCCCGCCTGGCCTCCGTCACCGACCCGACCTGCAGCCATCCTCCACCACACCCTGGGGGCCTTCCTAAATGCTGCTGCCCTTCCCCTCCCCACCCCTCTGTATTTTTATCCCCTGCTTTACACTCCCCGGTCCCCTCTGGCCGTCCGAAGGCCTGTGCCCCAGACATTCCCAGCCCCTTTCCCTCCACTTCCCTTGTGTAAATCAGCCATTTAATCCGTGTCTTGCAGGCAGGATGCTCTGGAAGTGAATGGAGGGCCACTCCTTGTGATGGCTCTTGAGCAGCAGGCGCCATCCAGGACCATCCCAGGCCACCGGCCAAGGGTGCCCTGCGCGCACACTGTGTCTGGTTCCCATGAGTCCCGAAGCCTCGGGGGCCCCGTGCTGAGCATGGCCCCACTCCAGCCCGGCATGGTCACCCACAGTGGCTCCCGAGTGACAGAAAGGCCAACCCCATCACCAGGGTCAAGATGCATGCCAATCTCTGACGGCAATGCCCTTCCTGCTTGCTGAGTAACCTGGCTGTGGTGAGGTGACAGGGTAGGGGTTTGCTGCCGGCAGGGGAGCTGGAGGGGGCTCCTGGGCCGGAGGTCCCCCAGCCCCATGTTCCTGCGCAGCACATCTGGGCCTCCTCCCCAGCCCTGCTCAAGCAGCCCAAGAGCAGGCAGTGTGTCACCCCGCAACGCTTGTCACCACATGGTTCTTATAGCACTTCCGACCCAACAAACAGCCTGAGCTTGCAGAGGGAGGTGTGACCCAGGTCCTTGCTAGCCAGGCTGCAGTCGGCAGGGCTCCTGGGCAGCCCCTCCTTCGCAGGCAAGGAAACCCCCGTGACTCTCAGATGAGCCAACACCTGCACCTGCTGTCGGGCCAGGCAGATGTGGAACACCTCAGGGCACGGCCCGCAGCCTCTGCACCAGCCTGGCACCCCACCCCACCCCCGCCTGCTCTGCTGCTCTTCCGGGAATGGGGACTGTCTCAGACATCCTAATGGAATCAGTCCCCAGGGCTCTCCTGGCAGCCGGTCCCTGCTCCGGGAGGCAGTCCTGCCAGCGCCAGAGACTGACACTCTAGAGAGCTCGTCTTCAGAGAAGTCTGGACCCCAGAAAGCACCAGATGCCTTTCATGCTCCAGGCACCCAGGAGCCCAAGACGCATGCACACCAGCTGCCCACGAACTGGCCCTGGGCCCCCAGCCTGGCTCTCGCTCCTGCCGTGGATAGGCCCCGTGCTTCCTGAGTGCCGGGCCCGCTGTCCACAGAGGCTCCTAAATGCCCTTGGAAGGCTTTGGGGACCCCACCCTCACCCTGTCCCCAAGTGTACTGGTGCAGTGGCCTGGCCAGCTGCCTGCACCATGTGGCCAGGGCTGGGAATTTTGTCTGTCTGTGGGTCCCCACCCCTGCCTCACCTCTGCAGCAGCAGGTGCTCGAGGATCCTTGCTAGTGAGCTAATTATTTCAGGATTTCTGTATCCCACAGGCACAGACGTCACCCTTTGTTGTTTTGAGGGGGATCTGGAGATAGGGGCCTCTCTGAACAAAACCATAAAGCCAGTGTCAATGTGGTTTGGGACCTTTGTCCCCTCCCTTTCCTAAGGCTGCCACCATCTCCCACCCCAGGGCTCCATCAATCCACCTACACTACTGCTGACAGCTG